TCTTTCTTTCTTTCTTTCTTTCTTTCTTTCTTTCTTTCTTTCTTTCTTTCTTTCTTTCTTTCTTTCTTTCTTTCTTTCTTTCTTTCTTTCTTTCTTTCTTTCTTTCCTACTTTCACAAGGAACTTGTTTCCTATGAATCCTGTCTTTGGGCCTACCTAGGTCTACCCATATCTTCATCTCCGTGGGAAGTAGTCAGGTTTAAGCAATATCTGATAGTAGATGGACAAGTTAGGCCTTGATTTCCTGATTGTCCTTGATTGAGGGGCTGAAAGAACTGCCCCAAGGGAATTCTCTGAGTTTTAGAGAAGGTCTTAAAGCAAGGTACGGAAACTTGGAGAATCCACCCCAAAGGTTCACACAGACTTTTTGTGCCTGACCTGTGACGAGCTTGTGTTGGTCTAATCAGCCACAGTCAGACACACTAAAACTTGTCTCTAGCATACTGATGTCATTTTGGTCCTCTTCGAAAAGGAAGGACAGTCACAACCTCCATTATAGAGTGGGAGGAATGGAAGCACATTCTTTGTTCGTCGGAACAGTATTCCTTCAGTCTAGGAGACCTTGGGCTTGTAAATTATTGGGCGAAGGGCAGAAATAAGAAGGTAGTCTCCTCGAAAGTCAGCTTTTATGGAGGAGAGTAGACTCAGGGGAGCCATCATAGCCAGCTTTAAGTATCTGAAAGGTTTTCATGTGGAAGAGGGATTGGACATATTCTGTTTGGGCCCAGAAGATAGAGCTAGGTGTGATGTGTAGAAGTTATGGAGAGGCAGATTTCCGTTCAATATAGGATTCTAGGGTCTAGAGTTGGCAGAGGCCTCAGAGATCATGTAATCCTGGCCTCCCCTTTGCCATTTTAGAGATGAAGATGTTAAATTATAGAAATGTTTAGTGGCTCACCAAGGTCACACAGGTAGTTAAGTAGCAGAGCTGAGATTTGAACTTGGATCTTCTGACTCCCTAGTCAGTCTGCCAAGGGTTTCCTTGGAAGGTGGTGGGTTCCCCGTCATTGCAAATTTTTTTCAACTAAAGGATGAATGACCTTTCGTTAGGGTTGGTATAGAGGGGATACCTATTCAGGCATGGGCTGGGCCAGATGGTGTCTCAGATTTCTTCTAATTCCGTGATTTTGTTATGTGATTGGTAGTTCACAGGTGTGTGTGTGTGTGTGTGTGTGTGTGTGTGTGTGTGTGTGTGTGTGTAGGGGGATGGGGGTAGTGCAAAGTAATTCCATTCCCAGACAGAGAGTCTGGAGGGAATATATGACTGATTGCCTATACTCAGGATAGCATTAATAAATCAAGCATTTATTTAGCACCTACTATGTGCCATACATTGGACTATGTGCTCGGACACAAATATAAAGAATGAAGTAATCCTTTTTCTCTAGGAGCTTAAATTCTTACAGGGAAAGAGAACACACATTGATAAGCGTATACAGAATAAATATAAAGTGGCTTTGCAATACTTCGTGGGGGCAGGTTCATTCTTTGTGACTTTCTGCATAGGAAGTGGATGAGATTAGCAGAGCTGAAATCTTCTGAGGTTGTAGGGAGAATTTCCTTTCTTTCCACTGTAAATATGGAAATTCCTGCAGTGAACAATACGGTCTTGTTTCCTCCACCTCATGCTGTCTCTGAACACGGGGATGTCTGTGTCCTCATATAGACAACTGGTAGCCATGGTGTAGAGTAGGTGCTGCTTGGAGTTGGATTAATGGACCCATGATTTCTCATGCCGTACCTTATTCTGTCTTGTAGAAGCAGTTAACAGAAGATGATGCCGATGATGAGGTGGAGATCGCCATTGACAATACGGCCTTCATGGATGAATTCTTCTCAGAGGTAGGCAGTCAGACTGGTAGAGAAGATTCTGGTTCAAATCTGGCTCCGGGCCAGTCATTTTCTCAGGCCTCAGTTTTCTCATCTGTGAAGTGGGGGTGGTGGTGATGGTAATTCTTTTGCCATAGCTATCTTCCTGGGTCAGTAGAGGGAAAATGCTTTGAGAGCTATAGGGATGTGAGCTGATAAGAGATTATCCCTTCTTTCAGAACCTCTGTTGGCAAATGTTTCTGTAGTTTTTTAATGAGAGACTTCTTATTCTGAAGCACAAAGAGAGAGGATGTTTTATTCCTGCTCTGAGGTGGCTGGGTTAGCTTTCCCTCCTTGAGCTCATAAGTGTGTTTGTAAGAAGTTTTCCTTCCCTGCTATTAAATGGGTAGAACTGGATCTGTTATTGATCCTGCTGGTTAGTGGCAGTAAGGAAGAGTTTTAGAGATAAATCCAACCCGTGTGTGGGCTGAGGAGGGCAGTTGAGTAGGACAGCTTCAGGGATTCCTTCCTTTGCCTTGGTCGGAGCAGCTTTGTCTGGCTGAAGCGTCTCAGTAAGAAAACCGTCTAGAAGGAGAGACCTAGCAAGAACTGGAAAAAGCCAACTTGACTTCTCTGAGATTGTTGCTGTCTTATCATCTGTCATCTATCCATAGACAAGCCCTCACCCTCATGCACCTGGACTGCCTGCAGGTTCCCCACCCCTGGTACAGAATGGAAGAAGCATTTAGCCAAGAATGAGGGAGATGCCTCACTACTGACGGGGAGAGGAGTTGAGAAGGTGCCTCTGGGAGAAATCTGAGGTCTGTTAATTCAGCCAGCATTTCTGTGTGAAGATACAGAGTTCACAACTGAAACAGCCCTTGCCTTCAAGAAGCTTACATTCTAGTTTGTATCCTAGCATCTTTTTACTGCTGTGGCTTAGACAACAGAACACGCTAACAGTGCCCGTTTTGCCCTGGTTGCAATGTTCTTATCTCTTGTCTTAAGCCATCTTGTTATCAGACATCTTTCTGGTTTTTTTTTTTTTGTTGTTGTTGCAACATCGGCCTCTGTCTCCTGATAAGCATGAGTGTGGAGCCATTTCTGTTCAATATCCCCGAGAAACACATTGTTGCAAGAAGAATTAACTCTCATCTGTGCCCTGCCCTGGGCTTTCTCTTGTGAGAGTAGCTAGGCAGCTCAGTGGATAGAATGCCAGGCACGGTGTCGGGAAGATTTGAGTTCAAATCCAGCCTCTAGACACTTAGTAGCTGTCTGATCCTGGGCAAGTCACTTAGTCTCTGTTTGCCTCAGTTCCCTCATTTGGAGGATAGTAAAATGGGGATAATAATAGCACCTACCTCACAAGATGTTGTGAGGATCAAATAAGATAATAATTGTAAAGTACCTAGCATAGTCCTGGCACATGGTAGGTGCTATATAAATGTTAGTCATTATTGTTATTATTTATTAATATCATTTAGTGATAATCTTGGAGCATTCGTGGGTATAGGTATTGAAGTAAAGAGTCACTCCTTGGAGTCCAGAGCTCCAAGACTTCCCATGCCACTTACATTTTTTTAAAAGTTTCTTTTTAAAATTATCAACTTCACCAACATCAACAGACATTTCCATATACAAAGAACAGAAAAAGAGGATTGTTTATGAAACTGTGAAAAGGTTTCAGTCTGCTGGAGGGATCTCCTGCATTGATGAGATCACAGATTGATTTGGAACTGCAAGTTATGTGTAGCTTGTTTTTTAAAAGAACATTTTTTTTGTGTCTCTGCTTATTTGTGTTCCCTTCTAAACTTCCTGCTCTTTTCTTCTCTGTATTTTAAAAATATTTCATTGATAACTTTTCTTCTTTTTTTTTTGGCGTCATTATCACTCTTCTTCTTCACAACTGGTCTTCCTTGAGTAAAAGCCCTCTGATGACTGGGGCCTATATAGGCTCATTTGCTCATTGTTGGGTTTTGCTGGCTCTGAGTGAATTGTAAATAGCAGATGTTTCTATTCTAGCCAGAAGCTCTGAGGGTCCTCCCCTCCCTGACTGGTTGTTTTGTGAAGGCAAATGAGGCCATCTTTTTTTTTTTTTATTATTTTTAGGCAATTGGGGTTAAGTGATTTTGCCCAGGGTCACACAGCTAGTAAGTGTGTCAAGTGTTTGGTCTGAGGCCAGATTTGAACTCAGGTCCTCCTGACTTCAGGGCCGGGGCTCTATCCACTGAGCCACCTCGCTGCCCCATTGAGGGCATCTTTTACCACAATTCTTACCTAGCTTTTAACTACTGAATTGGCTTTGCCTCAGAGAAACTGAGACCTGGGAAAGACCTCAGCTTGAAAAGGCCAAGGTCTCCCACTGCATCCTGGGCCGTCACCAGTTGTCCAGACCTACGTCTTGTCACTGGACTCCATGAGCCTGGAAGAAAGAGTGAGGCTGATGACTCTGAACAGCTCGGCGTCACTTTGATCTAATTCACTTGCAAGTCAAGACATGGCCCTCCTGACGTCACTGGTCCTGAGTACAAAGGATGAACAACAGCGACAAGGACACCAATCTCTTATAAACTGATATTTCTGTGGCACCTTAAAGGGGCTCTTCTAGCAGCAAGCTGAGACTCCAGGGCTGTATCTGCTTCTCTTCCTTAGCATTTCTACCTCTCCAGCTCACATCTGACCTTGTTCTTGGCTAAATACTTCTTCCCATTCCGTACCAGGGGTGGGGGACCTACAGCCTGAAGGCCACACGTGGCCTGAAAGCCACAGCTAATCCAGGTGCATGACTGTAAGGGCTTCTCCATGGACAGATCTGCCTGAGGGTACACAACGAACTTGTCCTTTATCTTCTCTGCTTGTGGACTAGAAATCTCCGCGATATGGGGTCAAGCACATTCCAGAGAAGGTTGTAAAACCCCAGGAAATGAGGTGTTTCCCCACCCGGAGCCTTTGGGTAAAGGTCCTCCTTTGATGTGTTTCATGGGCTATAGTCCCCCAGATTCCCCAGGCTTTGCTTATTCCCGGAGGTGCTCCTGAGATAAACCTTGTTTTCTGGAGGAGCTCCAATCAGTCACCCAAGATTGTTTGTTCGGGGATTGTTTTGATTACTGCTCTGGGTGGAGGAGAATTCCTGCCTGGGCTTTGTCCTGTTAGGGTGGTGGTGGGAGAAGCTATGGACCATGGCTATTTTAAGTCTGCCCAAGCTAATAAAAGCACATATCCCGTCCTCAGGCAACTGCATTCATTGAGAAATCTACAAGAATTAGAAAAAATAATTTCTTTGTACATTTGAGGTACAAAAAGGCCTTTATTAGTATAGAGATTTTCAGATAGCTTATGAAAATCAAGCATCCTGAAATTAATATTAACTTGGAAGGGGCAGCTAGGTGGCGCAGGATAGAGCACTGGCCCTGGAGTCAGGAGGACCTGAGTTCAAATTCGGCCTTAGACACAATACTCACTAGCTGTGTGACTTTGGGCAAGTCATTTAACTCCAATTGCCCTCCCCCCCCCAAAATATCTATATATCTATATATCTATGTATATAGATATATAGACAGATATCTATATACATAAAACTTAGAAGTCCAGCTATTGAATTAAATCCAGTGTAAAGTAATGAAAAGAACATTAGATGAAGACTCAGGAGTTGGTTTGAGGAGGAACACTTAGTATAATGGAAAGATTATAGCTCTGGAATTAGAGAACCTGGATTCACTTTCTGCCCCTGAGGCTTACCTGTAAGAACTTTGGGCAGGTCACTTAATTTTTTTTAGGCAATTGGGGTTAAGTGACTTGCCCAAGGTCACACAGCTAGTAAGTGTCAAGTGGTTGATCTGCGGCCGGATTTGAACTTGTCCTCCTGACTTCAGGGCCTGTGCTCTATCCACTGCTCCACCTAGCTGCCCCCAGGTCACTTAATTTCTCTGGGCCTCAGTTTCCTTATCTGTCAGATGAGGTAGTAGGCCTAGGCGGTCTTTGAAGTCGATTCCAGTTTGAGATGTTGGTTCCCATGATCTTGCTGTTGTCACGGTTATACTCTTTAGCTGGTCCTCACAAATCAATTCACATCTGATTCCTAGACTCCTCATCTGTAAAGAGGAAAAATTCTACTCTTACTACCCACTTTACTTACTGGTGATAAAAAAAAAATTAATTTGTAAATCTTAAAGCTTTGTAATCTTTGTGAAATATAGATATACAGGAAGACGGGGGCTTTTATTGGGCGAGAATGAAAGCATTGAAGTAATTGCATTCTTTGGACGGAATGATTAAGAAGTTCCAAGAAACCTGATTGAGTGATATATCTTCTGGTGAGTCTGGGCCAGTGACATCTGGTGTAGTGCCAATGCCAGGAAGTCTCATGCTCCTTTTGACATGGATCCCTTCTTGGAAGCAAGCTAGAGGAATGGAAGAGATAGCACCTGAACTCTGTGGCTGTGTCCAACGGTGCAGGAGGAAGAGCATGTTTGTCTCCATACTCGGCCAGCCTAGGCCACATAAGGCAACCCTTCCATTTTATAGATGAGGAAATTGAGACCCAGAATAGTGACATAGTTTTTCCAATGTCAGAAGTAGGAGCAAAGGGTAGAAGTTGGGAAAAAGGCAAATTTATACTTGATGTGAGGAAAACTTCTCAATAATTAGTCAGTAAGCATTTCTCAAGTGCTTTCTTTGCGCCAGACAGTGAGCTAAGCTCTGAGGCCACAAGTACAAGCAAGGAAGACAGTTCCTCCCCTCAAGCAGCTTACATTCTAATGGGGAAGGTAGCATGTAGAGGTGAGTGGTGGCCAGGGAGGAGAGTTTTGGACAGGAAGTCTGAATGAATGTTGAATGGTAGGATTGGTTTGCTTACTGTTCTCTGAGCTAGAGTTGGAGTGATGGGCGGTCACTTATGGCATGGAGATGGCCTGGAGGTGGCACGGTGGGCCTGAGACTAGGTGAGATATGGTGAATGCTTAACAGTCAGATCCCAGACTCGCCTCGTGAGACCTTCAGCTTCAGATGTAGGAGGAACGAAGGATACTTGGATG